GAGATGACCAACACGCTCCGGTTCGTGCACGTGTACGCCGAGCCGACGGACGACGCGCTGGAAGCGATTTCCGCGCTCAAGGAGATGGTCGCGCTCTTCGATCGCATTTACCCCAAGCTCAAGGCCGACTTGGTCACGATCCACGGCAAGTTTGAACCCGCGCTCGTCCAGTGGCTCAGCCACGAGTACGACATGCCCACCAACATGATGTTCATCAAGCAGCCCACCAACCAGGCCGCGCACAAGGTCGCGGGTCGTGGCGTCCGCGTCATCACTGGCTAACGATAGATATGATTGGCGAGGTGGCAGATAATCTGGGATTCCAACGCCATTCGCCCGGAGTTTTTCCGGGATGGGGTGCCCGATTTCCGGACGATTACGGTTAGTTATTCGCCAACGTGGCAGATACCAGCCAATGGAAAGCGCCTCGGAATGGCAACCGCCGGCAACCGCCTGGCAACAGCCAATCAAATGCCTGGATACCAATTCCCAACGACGAATAGGATCGCTGGATACCAATTTAGACCCACCGGTCCAATTAACGTTTCATGCGGTGAAAGGCTCGATGACTAGCAGGCGATTGACTATCTTCCAACGCATCCATCGTGCAAATGGCCACAAAACGTGTATATTTCTATGCTAGCTTATAGTAAAGTACGTTGGTTGTTAAGGGCAACTTGGTAAAGCGCGTTCCGCTGATCGATGCTCATGTCCGTCCACACGCGCTGCATTGCGCCGACCGCAGTTTCCCGATTGCCTTCGGCATCGTCGAGCCGCTTAGGTGCAGCAGTGTACTTGTTCACCATGGCCAAACGGCAGGCTGCAAAACCTTCAGAGTTGAACCTGTGGGATTTCCGTCGGTTTAGCCCACACTCGGCGCAAGGCGTATCATCTTTTCGCGACCGGCGCGCCGCGAGAACGCGTCGTTGGACTGCGCTCGACGGCGGTGGCGAAGACGCTCGAGATTGGGTAGGCCGTGCTGTTGCATGGCGACTGTTGACTCCTGCAGCACCGTCTCCAGATGAGGCCTGCGACGAGGCTGCCCGCACTTGTGCTGTTGGTGCTGGAGCTGTTGGTGCTGTTGGTGCTGGAGCTGTTGGTGCTGGTGCTGGAGGCCCGGATGTTGTGGTTGATGTACCTTGAGCGCAACGCGCAGCGTCAAGATGGCGATCCGTCGTCCGCAACAAGTTTTTGCTTTGCTGGTTGAAGTCTTGTCGTTTCTCGTGCGTATCGCCCTTTGACTGCGCCGCCTCGATCGCCTTCGGCACGGCTTTAGTACCATACGCCTTCAAGTTCTCTGCGTCCTTGTACGTAAATTTGTCGACGGGCCACGTGAAGGTTTTGTACTGCACGACGGCCGAGTCGGTGGTCAGCGCCATCCCGATGACGGTGTTCCAGATCTCCGCCATGGACGAGAAATCGACGTTCTTCACCGTCGCGACAACGCTTCCGGACCGCCTTCGCTTCTTTGACTGCTTGGGAAAGTCCGGCAGCATCCTGCGGTAAAGATCTTTCTCTTCGTCGGTCCACACGTTGGACGGCAGATCCGAGATACCCATGCGCTCGCATATCCACGTGTCGCATCGTCGCCTGTGCTTCGCACACTTGGCCAGGAGGGTGCACAAATCAACGGAGCCATCGTCGAAAAGAGCTTTGTGCACCTTGAGCACCTCCGACGAAGTTTGTACACGCCCGCATCCGAAAAGTTCCGTGTCGTCGGCTGGGGCCGATGTCCAAGCTGGTGTGACCGGCTTCCACCCACGGCAAGAAGTCGGCATGGTCGATCGATCGTACCCAAGCTGCGAGTAGAGAGCGACGGTGTTGTTGAGCATGTCGATGTCGTACGTGGCCAAGAGCTTGTCGCCTTTGATTAAAGCGGCCTTGGTCAGGTTCCAACGCAAAACAGTGTCGAGGAGGACAAAGTGCAAGAGCTCGGGCGAAGACATGAAGCCATGGAGGCCTTTTTGGAGGTAGTGGTGGAACGATTCGAGTTGACTTGTGCTGCGGATCGTAGCGTAGACCGGGTCGTCTTCTGTGCCGATGTTGATGTGCATGTTGACGCCCTCGGGGTCCGTGAGCCAGCCGTTCTTGAGTTGCTTCAGGACCGACTCGTGGACCGCAGCCATTGACTTCTTGTACATGCCAGTAGTGGTCATATAGCGCGAGTAGATCTCTTTGAGAGCCTTCTTGATGGCCTTGCGGTCTTCGACGTGCGTGCGCACGCGCGGGTTGTGCCGGAAGAATGCATCCTCCTTGTCGCCGTACTTCTCTGGGTCGGTTGCCTTGAGGCGGTCAATGTCGGTCTTGTTGAGTACAAAGAACGCACTCGACAAGTCCGCCATGAATTGCTGTCGTGTTGGCTTGTCGTAGCACGCTTCAAAGTAGTCTTGGAGGACGTGGAATATGTCGCGGAGCACAACGACATCGTTGCCAAAGGCTTGGCGAAGAAATGCAGTATCGCTGCCCGGGTTGTCGACCCAGATGACACGGCATTTCTTGTCGTTGCTCTCGATACGGTGTCGCATCTTCTGGATCTCGTACTTGATCTCCTTCAAAGACTTTGCTTGCACAGCCAGAAGCCAACGACCTCCTGGTGCTCGTTCATGGTTGTTGCCATGCAGCTGTACAGCGGCTCGCCGTTGGCATTCTTGCCAAACTTGGCGACGCGGAACGTGTGGTCCATCCGAAAAAACTCGCCCGTCAGCGACGATATGTGGCCCATAATCAACGGCTCCAAGCACTTCATAGTTGTGTCGAATTGGTGGCGCGCCGATTTTTCCGAGATACCGCGGCAAGGCCAGTCGCCAAAGTCCACAAACTCGACGGGTGCGACGACCGGGGTGAAGTGCTGCTGGATGCCGCACTTCATCGAGACGCGATGATGGAGGTACCGTTGCTGGGCCTCCAAGTACATGCGCGTCATCGCAGCCTTGTGCACCTTCTCGAAAGCCGCAAAAGACAAACCGTTCATCTTCAGCTCACGGATCCATGTCGCCATCGTCGTCTTGACGACCCACCGCTTGAGCTTAGCGTAGGGATAGAAGCTTCGGATGAGCGGAGGAAGCGATTCGAGGAACTTGGGGTGCAAGGCCGAGAAGACGCTAGCGCGTTTGTTGGCAGCGCGAGCCACGGGACAGTTGTCGTGCTTGAACGAGCGAACCTTGCCCAGCGCGATGCTCTCCAAGCCAACGACAACTTGCCACGAGATATTCCAGCCGTTGAGATGGCATCCTTGCTCCCCGCAGGCAACGCATGTCAGCTCGAACTCGCGCATGGCATCGCCGTAAAACAAGAATGGGCACAAGACAAAGACTTGCATGTTGGAGAAGAGGAAGTCGAGCATCGTCGCGTCGCCTGCCTTGAGCAGCGCGTTCGGGAGCATGAAAGAGTCGTTGGACCACTTGGTCTTGTCCAAGGTCGCCGACTGGGCCACACGAGTGCTATACATCCTCGGAAGTGTCGCCGAGACGCGCCGCCAGTGCTCATCGAGGTGCGCCTTGAGATCGGAGCGATTGAAGCCGACAGGCTCGTCGAGTTCATCGTCTCCTTCATGGACTGCATCGCAGTTGTAGTCGTCTGGTCCTGGACCCGCGTCGGCAGCGGCGACGGCGGGCTCGAGTCTCGGCAAGTGAGGGAGCATGAGCTGTTGGCCTTGGTCCGCCGCCGAGCTGCCGCGGAGCTTCGGATGGAGCTTGCAGTGGTCGTGGTGCCTGGTACGCGAGCCGCAGTCGATACAATGCCCAGTGTCACTGCGGTGAGCTGGGTTGGGGCGGACGCGGGTCATCAGTGGCCGTGTCAATCGAAATCGGAAAATGGACGAGCGCTACGATAACCTCTAACATTCGATACTGGCTATTCGTTGCAACAGGTAGGACGCTCGACAAAGTGCGCCGGCGCCTGCCAGGAGCCAGATGTCAACCAATCAGAAGAAGAAAATCCGTTGAAAGCCACCAATCAGATCTCCGGATACCATGAACATTCCAGAGATTTGGCAGCCTCGCCTAGATATGCGTTTTGGATACCCTATACTATAGTCTACAATAGATTAGTGAATCAATGCAGAATAAGATATGTGATTTCATTCATTTTCTTTGATATATCAGTGAATCCGAGCAGACTCAGTTCTGCGATTTTGGGACATTTATTTCTTCGAGTTGCACGACTACGAACTTGGTGAGTTGAAGGTCCAGCGCTCTTCGTCGCGGTCGTTGGTCGGTCCCTGAAGTCATACTGCCTGCCGCCTACGGGTCACGACCTTTTTAATACAAAAAACAATGCAATGACGTGGCAAACGCACATCACAGTACGACTTTGCACTTCCAGTATCTCCGCATGACGCGAATTGTTTACGAGCGCAAGCTGGCGCTGAAGCATCTGCAGTCTCTCGGGATTCAAGCTCAACCGAAACCAGACGCAAGTCCTCACGCACTCGCCTCTGCCCAACGCCGACGGCAACTCTGCAGCTTGTTGAGCCGACGCTGCACAAGTCGACGATCCTGGCCGGAAAAGCCATGATACTGCAAGCGGTCTACCTACCAGTATTATCACTTATGATTTGCGTTACGGTACACAACATACTGTTCAGCAATTCGCGTCATGCGGAGATACTGGAAGTGCAAAGTCGTACTGTGATGTGCGTTTGCCACGTCATTGCTATGTTTTTTGTGTTAAAAAGGTCGTGACCCGTAGGCGGCAGGCAGTATGACTTCAGGGACCGACCAACGACCGCGACGAAGAGCGCTGGACCTTCAACTCACCAAGTTCGTAGTCGTGCAACTCGAAGAAATAAATGTCCCAAAATCGCAGAACTGAGTCTGCTCGGATTCACTGATATATCAAAGAAAATGAATGAAATCACATATCTTATTCTGCATTGATTCACTAATCTATTGTAGACTATAGTATAGGGTATCCAAAACGCATATCTATCGTTAGCCAGTGATGACGCGGACGCCACGACCCGCGACCTTGTGCGCGGCCTGGTTGGTGGGCTGCTTGATGAACATCATGTTGGTGGGCATGTCGTACTCGTGGCTGAGCCACTGGACGAGCGCGGGTTCAAACTTGCCGTGGATCGTGACCAAGTCGGCCTTGAGCTTGGGGTAAATGCGATCGAAGAGCGCGACCATCTCCTTGAGCGCGGAAATCGCTTCCAGCGCGTCGTCCGTCGGCTCGGCGTACACGTGCACGAACCGGAGCGTGTTGGTCATCTCGTTGCTGCGGACATACAAGATGACCTTGTTGAGCACCGTGAGATCCGGGGACTTGATGAAAAAGACAAACGGCTGCTCCTTGATGGCCTTGATGGTCTTGACGAGCAGCGACACGCGCGTGTTCTCGCGTTCGAAGAAGCGAATGTTGTCTTCCTTGACGACGCAGTCCATCTCGGCGGCGCGGCGCTCAATCTCTTCCGTGATCTCGTGCTTGCGACCACCGCCCGGCAGCAAGTTGATAACAAAAATGAGGCAGCGCAAGATCGTGACGCGCCAGAGCATGCCAAAGACGACGACCGCGACGCCGAGTGCGTAGTAGAAGAAGTAGGCAATCACGGACGGGTCGCCGAGGAGGATGCCAAAGTACCCGATCGCAATCAGCGTCGCGCCCGAGATGCAGGCCCACCACGGCGCGTGGACGTCGCGCGGAATGTCCTGGCGCTTGATCTTGAGCATCATGCAGCCCATCGCGAAGAGAAACATCATGGACAAGAACGAGTACGTGTAGACGCCGCCGAGGATGACATTGTCACCATCCAAGAGCAAGACCAGCGACGACGTGAGGAGGAAGAAGGCGAGGATGATCCAGTGGTTGGTGCCGCGCCACTTGTTTTCGGCGGCAAAGAACGCCGGCATGACGCGGTCGGACGCGAGACGGCGGTGGAGACCCGTGATGCCAACGTACGACGTCAGCACCGCGCCAGACAAGACGACGAACGCATCAATGCACACGATCCAGACCAGCCACTGACCCGCCGCAACTTGAGCCAAGTTGGCCAGCACCGTGTTGGCGTTGGCCTGCAACTCGGCGACCGGCAAGACACCGAGGCCGAGGACCGCGAGCGAAATGTTGTAAAAGGCCGAGAACGCCCACATGTTGCGCATCGTCTTGCGAAAGACACCGGGCTGTTGCTGCTCGACAAAGTTGGCCGACGATTCGAACCCCGTCACGCCCAGCATCGACGCCGCAAAGCCAAAGAAAATGGCCGTAAACACGTTGCCGTCAATGACCGAGCCGACAAAGTCGACATGCGGGTACGCCGAGTGCATGTTGTCCGTGATGATCTCGGGGTTCTGGATCGTGTAGATGAGGCACGAGACCGCGAGGACCGAGAGCGTCCCAATGTGAAACGAAAACATCATGAGCGCCACGACCGACGACTCGGAGATGCCAATGAAGACCAAGACAGCAAACACGCCCATCAAGCCCACGGTGGTCCCGACCACCGGCAGATCCGGCACCACAAACTGCAGGTAGTAGCACGCCGACGTCCCAGAGACGACCGCTGTCGCCGTGTATGCGAGCGTACTCAGCACAGCCGCGACGGCTGCGACGCGCTTCGAGGTCGTGTTCAAGAGGCAGTTGTACGACCCGCCGTTCATCGGGATCGCCGTGACCACTTCTTCGTAGATGAAGCGGTACATGTAGAGGACGACCGACACCATGGCCATGCAAATGGGCGCCAATTTGCCGGCCTTCAACGCGACGATACCGGCCGAGTAGAGCACGCTGGACATGATGTCGTTGCCGCAGATCGCCGTCGAGGGCCACTCGCCGAGGAGGTGCTTGGGCTTGTTGAGGTCGTCGCGGATCGCGTTGAGTTCGTCGGCCGGCGGCGTGACGTTCTCATGCTTGCCGAGTGCGTCTTGGAAGATGAACGTCGGGCCAGACGCAATCGTTTCGGTCACGGGAATGTGGAACACGCGCTGGCGGGTCGTTGTTGTCGTCTTGGGCGTCGTGGCTTCTTCGTAAGACGTCATGGTCGAGGCGAAATGCAAAGTGAGCTGTGTGGTTTGGTCGAAATCCTCGTGGTTGGGTGCCAGTGCGAGTGGTGTATTGAAGGATCGTTCAACATTTTCACCTTGTTGCCATGCGGTGCTGGCTTCACAACATCCTGTGCCGCCCACCTTGTATACATCTGCTTTGGCGCGCGCTTTTTACAAAGATGTGCTCCGTGGAGCTCCTCGCGTGTGGCTAGTATTTGCACGGTGGTCGTGTCCGGTTGTGTGGCGCGGGTGCCAGCTGGCACGGCCATAGGATGTGCTTGGATGTGGCTGACTAGGATGTGTCACCAACCTGCGTATCCTTCGGTCCATCCAGTCTGCAGTTTCGTTTTCAATGCAGTTCAGGTCCATAGAGCAACGCGGGTGGCATTGTTGCCGAGCTACGAAGCGATGTCCAATAAATAATAGTGAATGCATAGCGACCAATGAGCACATTCTTGTTGAGCGGCGAGGGGCGCTGATGAGGACACTCGTGTTGCCGCACCCATCATGACGCGACGTGTCCAAAGTGCAACTTTGGTCAATACACTTTCTCAAAAGCGTCTCTACTGTTGCGCGCCGCGAGTGCTACGGCTGAGCGTCATTACCGTACACGGTCAAGTGCCATGACTATGACAAGCTAAAGACGCGTGGAAATGAAGAGACTCGTCGGAGCCTGCCGTCCGACTTGCTTGGTCTATGAAGTCCGTACAGTCCGTAAGGACTACCGGTAGAGATATTTTTGATGGCATGGGTGCTTGAAGTCCACATCGTGGCGATCCGACAACGAGATGTGGACGGGCGCTGGCCACACTCTGACGACGCTCTTCGAACAAACCAAGCTCGCACGACATACTACGTAGTACTTGACACGCGATTGCTGGACCAGTGGTTCTAGCCACGACGGCATAGCGAGTCGTATGGTACCGTCTGTGGTCCATCCAGGACTTGTTGGCGGAGGAGAAACCGCCAGGGACCGCACTCGTTCTGAGGCCGGAAGGTCGAAGCACGCGCATAGAACTTTTTGATTGCGATCGCTTTCAGAAGGTCAAAATCTTACCAGTTCGGTAAATATTACACACATATTTCCTTGTGTGTATGGACCGGTGCACACAGTGATCGAACAAGTACCGGTGACACGTATTATGAAGCAGTAGCATGTGAAGTCGATTACGTGGGAGAAATATGTGCTTGATACCCCAAGCTTCGTCGATTGGATGCGACCAGCTCCAATGAACCACCCATGCTATCGCGCTGTCCACGCACAGATTGACAAGATGAAACCCAATAGAATACATTGTACTACCTTAACCAGCGAATATTAGACGACTAGCCCGTGATGACGCGGACGCCGCGACGCACGACCTTGTGCGAGATGCTATTTGTTGGCTGCTTGATGAACATCATGTTGGGCGGCAAGTTGAACTCTTTGCTGAGCCAGACAATGACCGCGGGTTCAAACCAGCCGCGGACCGTGAGCACGTCCATCTTGATCTTGGTGTACAAGTTGTCAATCACGTCGACGCGCTCCTTCAACAGCGCAATTGTCCGAAGCGCGTCATCGGTCGGCTCGGGGTAGACGTACACGAACCGGAGGCGGCTCGTGAGCTCGTTCTCACGCACGTACAACGTCACCTTGTTCATGAGCTTGAGGTCCGGCGTCTTGATGAAGAAAAAAGTACTCTTGGGCCTTCACCCGCTTGATCGTGCGGATGAGCGCGGTGGCGCACGCGTGCGTCTCCCGGTCGAAATCTTCATTGTCGTCGTCGTCGTCACCATGGTCACCAAGGACGCCGTGTTGCCGGTTGTGGAAGACAGTCAGCATCGCGACGTCGTCCGTGTCGGTCGGTTTGGCACCCGTATTGGTGACAATATTGACCATAAACACAAAACAGCGCAGAAGCGTGACGCGCCATAGCATTGTAAACACGACGAGTGCGATACCGAGCACGTAGTAGAAAAAGTACATGAGGACCGACGGGTTCCCAAGCACAATGCCGAGGTACCCGACAAAAATGCACGAAGCGCCGATGAGGCAGACCCACCACGGTGCGCGAACGTCGCGCGGAATGTGCTGGCGCTTGACCTTGAGCACCATGCAGCCGATCGCAAAGAGAAACATCATGGACAAGAACGAGTACGTGTAGACGCCACCGAGGATGACATTGTCGCCGTCCAAGAGCCAGACCAGCGACGACGTGAGGAGGAAGAAGCTCAGAATGATCCAGTGCGTCGTATTACGCCACGCATTCTTGCGCGAGAGGAACCGAGGCAGGACGCGATCGGTGCTGAGACGGCGGAGGAGGCCGTTGCCACCGACGTACGCCGTCAGCACCGCTCCGGAAAGCACGCAAAACGCATCGATACAGACCAGCCACTTGAGCCACGGGCCGCCAGCGACCAAACCCATGTTGGCGAGCGCCGTGTTGGCGTTGTGGATGAGGCCGTTGGGGCCGTAGAGTGGCAGCACCCCCATCGAGAGGATCGAGAGCACAATGTTGAAGATCGACGAGAGCGCCCACATGTTGCGCATCGTCTTGCGAAAGATACCGGGCTGCTGCTGCTCGACAAAGTTGGCCGACGTCTCGTAGCCCGTGACGCCCAGCATCGACGCCGCAAAGCCAAAGAAGAGCGCTGTGCCGACGCTGCCGTCGACGACCGAGCCGACAAAGTCGACTTGCGGGTACGGCGCGTGCCAATTGTCGATCAAAATGCTCGGGTGTTGAATCTACATCCATACCAATAATCAGAACTGATAGAAGATATCCGAATGTAGTACCGTGTAGACCAAGCTCGCGACCGCAAGAATCGTGAGCGTGAGAACGTGCAAGACAAAGATGACGAGCGCAACGACCGCCGACTCGGACAAGCCGAGGAAAAAGAGGAGGGCGAAGGCACCGAGGAGACACACGGTCGTGCCGACGACCGGCAACTCCGGCACGACAAACTGGAGGTAGTAGCACGCCGATGTTCCGGAGACGACGGCGGTTGCCGTGTACGAGAGGATGCTCAGCACTGCCGCAAACGACGCGAACCGCTTCGAGGTTGTGTTCAAAAGGCAGTTGTACGACCCGCCGTTGATCGGGATCGCGGTCACGACCTCTTCGTAAATGAAGCGGTACAGGTAGAGCACAAAGGACACCATGACCATGCAAAAGGGCGCGAGGTTCCCGGCCTTCAAGGCAACGATACCGGCCGAGTAGAGCACGCTGGACATGATGTCGTTGCCGCAGAGCGCTGTCGAGGGCCACTCGCTCAAGAGGTGCTTGGCGCGCGCGTTGAGTTTGGCGCGAATGTCGACGAGATCGTCGAGCGGTGGTCGAATCGTGTCCGACTTGCGGTTGTACATGGAAGACGCCGTGGTACCAAAGGATAGAGCTTCTTGCGGCTGGTGTTGGATCTGGTCGAGGCCCGTAAAGAGTGTGAGCTTGTGTCCTGGCGTCGGCGCGGCCTGGTACCCCGACATGCGACTGGTTGGCCGAATGCGAAAATGATGCACGCTGACGATCGGATGTGCTGCGGTCGTCAGGCGCTGTAACGGCCGTGCCAGAAAGGCAACATCAAATCCATCTGGTTTTTCAGATCAATTGCAGCCACACACGCGACTCATCGCCAGATGTGGCGCGGTCCGCCCCCTCCATGTGGCAAGTGCGCATCCCACACGACAGCTCTGCCAACTTGCTTTAAAGTCTACTCGAAAGGTCGTCGACATTCCGACGTGCGTGTGTCGTACGACGGCAGCTGACGTGGCCTCCATCCCAAGAGCTCGTACGCCTCGATGCAAGGCTTCAAGGGTACAGGACCCGACCCGATGATCGTTTTGGCCGCGTCTGTCCAGTGCATTGCAAGGCTGGCATCCCACGGTCCAAAGGTTCGTGAGTGTGTGGCGAGTTCGAGTACTGTCGTGCGGCAGTATAAACCCAGAGTCGAGCTCCCGTGCAACGGCGGTGAACAGCTCGATACTTGCGTATAGTAGATATATATCAACCGCAAAAGAATACACTACAGGCTGTAGTAATGACTGACCACAGATGGACTGCATCAGCAACCTGAAGCAACGGGCGCATCGACGTCGAGAGGCCGCACAGCGATCTTGATCAGGTACGTACCACCGCCAATACGAACGACCGTCGTGCGCTGGGTCCTCCTCATTCTGGCGTGGCACGCGCTCCTCCACCAGACGACGAGTATCCAAGAGAAGAAGCACGTTTGAAGAGACGCACGTTGACACCACTAGCAACGACCTACACGTATGTTGTTGTTGAACTGAGTTCTATTACATGCAATTAGAAAGATATGGTGGACTTCCTCATGCGCTCGTGCGGCGTGGTCGGTGCGTCAAGCGAGGAGCATTAGTGGTCGTGATTCGAGATTGTGCGAGGGACCAGGTAGCGTGCACACCAAGGGTCGTCGCAGAGAGCGATCAGCGACGCGTCAAGCGAGGGCACCACAGCGCGACTTCCACGTATGTGCTTGCCAGTAATATATCCACCCTTGGAACGATGGACGAGCGACTCTTCGTGCACCTTGCACACACACTGTGGTGCAAACGAAACCCCACCTTAAGCATCCTACTTGATCGGCAAGGCAGCAAAAGCGGCTCGCTATGATCTCGTTTCGAGCGTAGGGTGCAGGCGACGACCAGAGTCAGGGACCATCAAATGCCTTACCGCACAATTTGCGGTAGGGCGGGATCCTCATACACGCACAGCTGAGCCTGCTCTACGCAATGCACATCATCACGGGTTGCGCCGTGATCGCCGTGATCGCTAGTGTTAGCGTGCGCGTCGTGCCAGGGCTCTCGGTCGTCACCGCATGCTCCGCTTGTCTAGTTGGTTGCCGAAGCGAAGGAGCAACGCGCCAAGGACAACATTGTCGCAGTGGTAGGGTTGTAGTCATCGTCGGCCCGTGCATCAGCCGTCACCGACTAGGCAAGCATATGTCGACAAGTAGTGTCACTCGTGGATCTGCCGTCTGTGGTCTCAACAACCATCACGTTGGTGCTCTCAAAGGGCAGTCGTGGCTCCATGCAATGTCGTATTGAGGTAATGTACTGTAGGGTTAGGTTAATGGGTAGCTACACAGGGCGAGGATTAGCCCGTAATGACGCGGACGCCGCAGCCCGAGACCTTGTGCACGGTCGAGTTGGTGGGCTGCTTGATAAACATCATGTTGGTCGGCATCTTGTACTCCTTGCTGAGCCACATGATAGTCGCGGGGCTAAACGACGCGTGGATCGACACAAAGTCCGTCTTGATCTTGGGGTAAATCCGATCAAAGAGCGCAACCATCTCCTGAAGCGCATGAATGGTATCCATCGCTTCGTCCGTCACGTCGGGATAGACGTGCACGAATCGGAGCGTCGTCGTCATCTCGTTGTTGCGGACATACAAGATGACCTTGTTGAGGACTGTGAGGTCCGGGGACTTGACGAAGAAGACAAACGGCTGCGTCTTGATGGCCTTGATCGTCTTGACAAGCAGCGCGACACGCTTGTTTTCGCGCTCGAAAAACCGAATGTTGTCTTCCTTGACGACCACGTCCATCTCAGCCGCGCGGCGCTCAATCTCCTCGTTGATCTCGAGCTTGGTCGCGCGCTTGTGCGGCAGCAAGTTGGCCAAAAAGATCAAGCAGCGAAGGACCGTCACGCGCGCCAGCATCATATAGACGACAAACGCAACACCGAGGGCGTAGTACGCGAAGTACATGAGCACCGCCGGGTCACCGAGGAGGATGCCAAAGTACCCGATCGCAATCAGCGTCGCGCCCGAGATGCAGGCCCACCACGGTGCGTGGACGTCGCGCGGAATGTCTTGGCGCTTGATCTTGAGCATCATGCAGCCCATCGCAAAGAGAAACATGAGCGAGAGGAACGAGTACGTGTAGACACCGCCGAGGATGACATTGTCGCCGTCCAAGAGCAAGACCAGCGACGCGTTGAGGAGGAAGAAGGCGAGGATGATCCAGTGGTTGGTACCGCGCCACTTGTTCTCAGCCGCAAGGATCGACGGCATGACGCGGTCAGACGAGAGGCGACGCACGAGGCCGTTGATTCCGACGTACGAGGTCAAGACGGCGCCGGACAAGACGACAAACGCATCGATCGAGACCATCCACGCGAGCCAGTCGCCGGCCGCGACTTGGGCCATATTGGCCAGCACCGTGTTGGCGTTGGCTTGAAGGCCCGATGGTCCGTAGATCGGAAGCACGCCCATCGAGAGAATCGAGAGCGAAATGTTGTAAAACGACGAGAACGCCCACATGTTGCGCAGCGTCTTGCGAAAGACACCGGGCTGTTGCTGCTCGACAAAGTTGGCGGACGATTCGAACCCCGTCACGCCGAGCATCGACGCCGAAAAGCCAAAGAAAATGGCTGTAAACACGTTGCCGTCAATGACCGAGCCGACAAAGTCGACGTGCGGGTACGCCGAATGGTAGTTGGCCTGGATGATCTCGGGGTTCTGGATCGTGTGGATGAGCGAGGCGACGACGAGGATCCCGAGCGTGAGGATGTGAAAGCTAAAGATGACGAGCGCGACGATCGACGATTCGGCAATGCCAATGAGCACGAGGAGCGCAAAGAAGCCGAGTAGCCCGATCGTCGTGCCCACGACCGGCAGCGACGGGACCGAGTACTGGAGGTAGTAGCACGCCGACGTCCCGGAGACAACCGCCGTCGCCGTGTACGCGAGGATGCTAAGCACGGCCGCAAACGACGCAAAGCGCTTGGACGTCGTGTTGAGGAGGCAGTTGTACGACCCGCCATTCATGGGAATCGCCGTGACCACTTCTTCGTAGATGAAGCGGAACATGTACAAGATGAGCGAGATCATGCCCATGCAGATGGGCGCGAGCTTCCCGGCCTTCAACGAGACGATGCCGGACGAGTACATGACGCTGGACATGATGTCGTTGCCGCAGATCGCCGTCGAGGGCCACTCGCCGAGGAGGTGCTTGGGCTTCTCGAGGTCGTTGCGGATCGCATTGAGCTCGTCGGCCGGCGGCGTGATGTTCTCATGCTTCCCGAGCTCTTCCTGGTAGATGAAGGACGGGCCGGTTGCCATGCTCTCGGCGACCGTGATCTGGAAGACGCGCTTCCGCGTCGTCGGTGGCGGCGGCGCGACCGCGGGGCTCGCCAGCGCTGCGTACTGGGAGCCGTCCATGGGGGCGCTTGGGGAGGAGCTCGCAAATTGGCAAATGAACCACCGAAGGGACCTTCAGTGCAAACGATCGCCCTCGCCAAGTGCACCAACAACTTGGTTCTTGTATGCAAGATCGGCGCCGGCGTGACTCACACCTTGACCTTGTATACGGAGAAATGACTTCGATCCCGGTCGTTATTTATATTAATATACCATTTCAATACAAACACCGAGACGTATTTAAGGTAAGCAGCGCGTATTTTATTGCGGCATCTAAGATCCCAAAGATATTATTTTGCTCTCGGCGCGTACAATAGAATGCAGGAGGTCGGAGATCGGCGACGTCAACGTTTTATTGACCAATCAATATCCATGTAAACACGTACAGTGATGTGGATTGGTCAGTTGAATAAATGTTCCACCACTCACCATGGGCACGACGACAGTACGCATCAGGTGCTGTCAAATACAGGCGCAGCTGGCCCGCTCACCCTAGGTGAAAATTCACATCGCCGAGTCAGGTGCCACATCGCGCTCGCCACATCGCCAGGCGCACCTATACAATGGCTGCCACCTGGGACTGAATTCCGCGGATGCAAGGCGCCATGACCGTCCATTGCAGGCCTCCAATCGGAAAATGGGTGCATCACCCATAGCGTTCGGATCGAATGCGACGAATGATTGAAGCTACTCTGGCCTCACGCCAGTCAGATTCATCGGACCATATTTCTTGCAGTCTGTAAGACACTGGTGCATAGCATGGGTGCATAGCACACCCGCGCCGCACAGTATATGGCGCGGGATGTGGGGTCGACAATATTGAGGGTCCTGTGCTCTCAAGCTGTGCTCGCAGCACATCCGTGCGGCGGGGATGTGCTGCATGGGTCATGGCTGCATGCAATTAGGTGGCGCAAGTACTAGTACCTGGCACTGGGTATAATAGCGTCCGCGAATTAAACAACTGCGGAGCATGGCGTGGATCATGCACGCGGTGCCATCATCTACGACGCAAATGGGCTTGCCACGTCATGGCGGTTTCACGCGATGGACAGATTTCAGTCACTGGGTGGCCTCGTGGAGTGCGACGCGACAGATCTGGCCTCACAAGTACCGGTACACCCAATCCGTTCAAGGTGTCGCTGGGGACATTGTTTTGACGTCGGGCAATGCGTCGGGTCCAACGGGCACTATCAACGTGGCGGTCTCGGAGAGCCAAGGCGCGGCTGGCGGCAGCATTACGTTGGCTGCCGACGACTAGCGGCAACATTGTTTTGGCGACAGTTGCGAGTGCTAGTACGGTGAAGGGCCACCGTTTTTGTAGGTGCACCGTGTCTAAACGATGCCCCAGCCATAGAATTCTCTTCTGTCGACGTCTTGACGTGTCGAGAAAAAATCAAATGATCAAAGGCCAATATATCCTTGAGGACTTGAGAAAAGATTAAAAAAGAGCGAAGAACGTATTAAAAAAGAGCGAACCAAAAAATGGCAGGAAAAAGAGCGGAACTTTTGACAATGGCAGAGAAAAAAGAGCGGGGAATCGAAATAGAATAAAAACAAATTTCCGGATGAAAACGGCAGAAAAACAAGCGGTACGATACAGCGGCAATGGCAGAAAAAGAGCGATAGGCAATACCGGTGCGGTAGAAGATATGCGCATGAATATACTTATTGGAACGGCAGAAAAAAGAGCGATAGGCAATACCGGTGCGGTAGTAGATATGCGCATGAATATACTTATTGGGAGATAATGAAGCTTTAGAAATTCACTACGGGCCGGCAACGTTTGCGCCGTTGGTCCACGACTGCTCAATAAGCTCGGCGTTGTCTGCAAGCCTGATCGTCCACGTGTAGACGCCCGTTGACTGGTCGAGGCCGATGACCCTGCCAGCGACGAGTTGAGGTCGGCCGTTGATTTGACTGGGGTAGAGGACGTTCCAGTTGATGATGTATGCAGCTTGCTGTACGATCCTCGCCAGGATGCGTCTGGCGGAGTACTGGCTGTTGTTACCAGGCGCGACCGCGGGTTCGCCATCGCGGACCAAGGCCGTCCCGGTCCTACGGGGGCGACCAGGGGGGCGCCGTGCAGGGATCCTCTCAAGAACGTCGTCGAGGTCGATGAGCCCGATGCGGTGCATCACCGCAATTGAATGAGAGCAGAACCACCCTGTGCGACAGAAGTGTTTACATTGGCACCTGAATTTGGTCCCAATGTCTGCAGCCTATTTCGAGTGGTTGTATAGACCGATGTGTAGGAGGTACGGAGCTGGACCGTGTCGCGAGTGGGGTCCATTACTTCGCCCACGGTTTGCGGACGCGTTGACGAGGAATCCGAGGGACACCTCACGTGATGGGCCCAGCTGGAAGTACTCCAGCATGTTCGACAGGTTGCTGACGACTGCCGCGGCGATACAGTCAAATTGGAGCTGGGTAACTCGAGGTGCGTCAAAAGAGGACGCACGGAGTCTTCCCAAAATTCTTTGCCGGCGCGCTGGCTCACGGCACGGTGGACATGTGGCCAACACGCAAGCAATCAAATACCTGGCCAGACTGCCTCGAAACCTGCCGCAAGGGCAGGATAATGATCGAGGCACCCGAACTTGACGTCGAGTACAATGCCAAACAAAGTGGTGGCACTGGTGTGCACGGCCCGACACAGCGCTGTAAACGCAACCGTTGATTCGGCACGACAGAACATGTAGGCCCACGGTCGGAAAGAGTGGACATCCGCATAGCCATCTCGACGTGTACACTCGGTACCTATAGCCGTGAGTGTATTAAAGGAAATGATATCCACAACCAACGACACCGACCCGTGACAAAGCCGCTATATTTCAATGTATCAATCATGCAACAGCTTGTATCAACTTGCACCAACTCCGACACGAGCTGCCTCTAACAATAGTACCATCTGCAGTATCAAATGGACTGATAGTAAGAAAAACCAAGTACCGGGTACATGATCGAAAGTTGCATGGTTGGATGCAATGTGGTATTACACTTCAAAACCACCATCTTTGTCCCGCTCGTCAGTGGCTCCGTTTGATAGATCTCGAACGAAGCGAGCGTACGCCGCATTGTGGTGACTGCACGTGTGACGGTACCTCTCACAGGATCCTGATTTGCGGTCTCTCGGTGCCCCACATCGAGGCGGTGAGGTGACGCTGTCAACGTGCTTACCCGTTTTGCGGTACGGACATTTGTCTCGAAGCATCGCACACCGCTTCTTTGCCGAGGTCATAGCGTTGCAGCACGCCGAGGCTACACCTTCTGACACGCGACTGGCACTGTGCTGCGAGAGCAAGAGGCCGAAAGCATCGGCCCCGTATTCTAAAAACCGACGTGAGCATCGGGGGCGGATGCGCTGTGGCCGTTGAGTGGGCCGACATGGCGCTGAGTCGTTTTCGCGCGCTTGCCCGCTTTGGGCCCTTCCCACAGTTGCGGATCTTCTTCGCCTTCACCTTCTGGTTCTTGTTGCGACCAGCCATGGTAATCTGCAATTACCATCGACGGTTGCCGTTTCGGTAGGATTATATGGAAGGTCCCATCTCTTTGTTCGAAATCATTGATTGCAAGGCTGCATCGGAGCTCGCGCAGCGGCAACCGGCCGTTACACGCGGGCGGCCAAGAAGACACAACAGGCCCAGGCCGACATCGTCGCACGGATGACAATCAAGACGACCACCAAGAAAACCGCACCAACCAGAACAAGGCAGGCGACCGGCACGAACACGTCAAACCGAGCGTGCCCCGAAGGAACCAAGTAGGACCAGAAAGAGTAGATAGCTTTCATTTTAGGATAGTTCTTCAAGCTAACCCACCTCGCCACCCGAGCGACGCAATACATTTGCCATCCCCCAACGCCGAGTGTAACCTGCCCATCGCTCTTTTTCTGCCATTGCCGCTGTATCGTACCGCTTGTTTTTCTGCCGTTTTCATCCGGAAATTTGTTTTTATTCTATTTCGATTCCCCGCTCTTTTTTCTACCATTGTCAAAAGTTCCGCTCTTTTTCCTGCCATTTTTTGGTTCGCTCTTTTTTAATACGTTCTTCGCTCTTTTTTAATCCGCACCCTTGAGGACTTGTATTAATAGGATTGGCTCCAATCATTCAACAAAGCGATGTGTTTCGGGCATGCATGCAGTTACGGAGTTGTCTTGAGCTACCGGTATGATCCGGTGATGGAGTATCGAGCGTTTAGCCCGCAATGAGGATCACACCTCAGCGCGCGTCGCCGGTGAAGTCGGCCACTTGATGATCATCAAGTTGGTCGCAACCTTGTACTCGTGGTTGATCCAGAGCACGGTCACAGCGTCAACCCGGCCGCGTATCGAGACAAAGTCCGAGCTACAATATTGTACACAAAAATGTGTCGACCACGCCATTTTCCGGCCATGGGCGCACCGCAGTTTCGGGTACATGGCTTCAATGCTACGTACTAGAGTATGTACTTATCGTTATGTCCCTTGATGGCATCAGACGAATCAACCATTTGACGAAGGCACCCGATCGTGCTGCTGGCGTCGTCGACTTCGTACAAGTGAATAAACTTGAGCGTGCGTGTGATCTCGTTGTTGCGGATATATTCCCTTGCGGTAGGGCACGGGCTCGGGGGCAGCGTGCGTCGCCGCTTCGAATCTCTCTTGCCAGCGCAACGTAGATCATTTTATTCTACTTCACGCGCCATGTAATACAACGAACAAACAACAACTTGAATTCTGTAAAATGGTTGAAGACTTCGTTCCATCCAAGTCGATATATTTTTTATGGCACACGACGACACACTGTCTAAAAGTATTTGCACGACCGAAAGTTAGCCCGTGATGATGCGCACACCGCAGCACGAGACGCTCTTGGCGTCGATCGTCGTCGGCTGCTTGATGAACATCATGTTGGTCGGCATCTTGTACTCGTTGGCGAGCCACGTGACGGTCGCCGCGTCAAAGTTGCCGCAAATCGACACGAAATCCGTGCGGAGCTTGGGGTAAATCCGATCAAAGAGCGCAATCATCTCCTTGAGGGACTCGATGTTGGCCATCGCGTCGTCCGTTGCTTCGGGGTAGACGTGCACAAACCGGAGCGTCTCGGTCATCTCGTTGCTGCGGACATACAAGATGACCTTGTTGAGCACGGTAAGGTCGGCGCTCTTGATGAAGAAGACGAACGGCTGCTCCTTGATCGACTTGATCGTCTTGACGAGCATCGACACACGCTTGTTTTCGCGCTCAAAGAAGCGAATGTTGTCTTCCTTGACGACCACGTCGGCTTCGAGCGCAACGTCGGCCGGAATGTCCTTCTTCGCGCGGGAAGGGCACACCATGTTGATAAGGAAGATGACGCAGCGAAGGACGGTCACACGCGCCAGCATCGAGTAGACGAGAAAGCCGACGCCAAGGGCGTAGTAGGCAAAGTACATGAGCACGGTCGGGTCGCCGAGGAGGACCCCAAAGTACCCGATCGCAATCATGGTCGCACCGAGGATGCACGTCCACCACGGCGCTTGGACGTCGCGCGGAATGTCCTGGCGCTTGATCTTGAGCATCATGCAGCCCATCGCAAAGAGAAACATCATGGACAAGAACGAGTACGTGTAAACGCCCGAGAGCACGACGTTGTTGCCGTCCGAGATGATGACGAGCGACGCCGTGAGAAGGAAGAAGCCAAAGATGATCCAGTGGTTGGTCCCGCGCCACTTGTTTTCGGCGGCAAAGAACGCGGGCATGACACGGTCGGACGCGAGACGACGGACAAGACCCGTCATACCGACATACGACGTCAAGACAGCGCCGGACAAGACGATGAACGCGTCGATCGAGACGAGCCACTGCAGCCACGAGCCGCCCGCGACAAGGCCCATGACCGACAAGACCGTGTCCTTCTTGGCGATGAGACCTTCTTCGCCGTAGACCGGCAGCACGCCGAGACCCATCCACGCCAGGAAAAAGTTGTAGCACGACGAGAACGCCCACATGTTGCGCATCGTCTTGCGAAAGACGCCGGGCGCCTGGTCTTCAACATAGTTGGACGACGTTTCGTAGCCGGTGACACCGAGCATCGACGCCGAGAAGCCAAAGAAGAGCGCCGTGAACCAGCTGCCTTCGATCTGCGAGCCGACAAAGTCGACGTCCGGGAACGGCGTGTGCATATTGGCCTTGAAGATCTCGGGGTTCTTGATCTAAAATCACCGAAAGATACTTTGAGATTGCACTTTCTAGCAAGAGAATCATACCACATGGATGAGGCACGTCACGCCGAGGATCGTGAGCGTCACGACGTGGAAGCAAAAGATGCAGAGCGCAACGATCGACGACTCGGTGATACCGAGCAGCGTGAGGCAGGCAAACGCACCGAGGACACCGACTGTCGTGGGTACGACCGGCAATTCGGGCACGACCGACTGCATGTAGTAGCAGGCCGACGTTCCGGACACGACCGCCGTCGCCAAGTACGCCATGATACTCAGCACGGCTGCGAACGACGCGACACGCTTGGAGGTCGTGTTCAAAAGGCAGTTGTACGACCCGCCGTTGAGCGGGATTGCCGTGACCACTTCTTCGTAGATGAAGCGGAACATGTAGAGGACGAAGGACACAAAGACCATCGCAATCGGTGCGAGCTTGCCGGCCTTCAAGGCGACGATACCGGCCGAGTAGAGCACACTCGAGAGAATGTCGTTGCCGGCAATCGACGTGGCGGGCCACTGGCTCAACAGATGCCGGGGCTTGTTGAGCTTCTCGCGGATGCCTTCGAGCTCGGCGTCGCTCGGGTGGAGGTTCTCGTGCTTGCCGAGCTCGCTCGGGTAGATGAACGACGGGCCGGCCGTCGCGTCTTCCTTGAGCGTGATCTGGAACGTGCGCTTGCGCATTGGCTTGGCCGGGCTATCGCAGTGCTGGGTGTACACGGCTTGGGGCGTCGCCATGCTGCTGGTGATGTCGACAACCGAGCAAATTGAAAAGTGAAGTCGAGTGCGGTTGTTTCCGCGGAAATAAATGGTGACGCGACCACTCTCTGGCCACGAACGACCGTAGCACTTGTGACCGAATTCAGAGACGCCAGTGATGTGCTCGCCGTACGTCGTCACGCGCACCTTGTGCTTATCCATCAGCCTTGGAAAAGACGCGGTTGGGATCGCACCGATGTGGCGCGCCGATGTGGCGCGATCCAACTCTACGCACTCGAGATGGATGTACCACCCACGAGATGCTGCACGTGCACCCACCCACCCGCGAGCGTAGTACCCCGTCAAGGCAACAAAGCCTCTTTGCACGTCGGCCAGCGACGCAATGAGCCGAGCACACACGACGACGGCTCTGAACCGCTCGTTGGAGGTCCGACGTACGAGCTTGCGCCGGCCATATCATGGAAGAATGCCCCTGGTCCACGCCGCGTGATGTGTTGTCCCACTTTAGCAGTGGACACGGCACCATCTGGTCCAGCATTGATCAATCGTGCTTCGGAGGTAATCCTTTCTGGTGGCATTGCAAGTGCAAGCATGCACATAGTCAGTGTTTCGTCAGGAGCGCAAGAATGCAGAGACGAGCAGCACAAAGAGTGTGAAGCTGTCGTCACCAAGCCATCAACGTCGATGTGGTCAAGGGTGTAGCTCGTTGAGGTAAGAATACATATGTAGCACCATCGATGTGGCGCCAATGCCACATGTAATGGCCTCAACCTTCTCGTCTGTAGACCAGCTGTTTCTGGGCTTTTGACCTTTCCGCTTGAAGTGGTCTGTCCCATGTGGCAGTGGCGCCACATCTCGCTTCGAAAGAAAGGTTGGGTACCGATCGCCTCTCCATCACGGCCAGCGTTGACATGGCCGTCATTGTGGTCAGCGGACTACCCACCCACGGTGTATGACTTGTGCTGTACAAACAATACGCTGACCACTTCAAAAAGATTGAAAAAGGACGCAACTCGTAGCTCGGGACTGCAGTGCTGAACGACGATGTACATACACGTGAGCTTGCGCTTTTCTTCTTCTCAAGCAGCGGCACTGACAGCAGCAATACCGAGCAGGACATCGTAGACCATATCTTATTGACGTTATGAGCATGGCATACCAGGTGACCATTGCAAGCACCTTGATAAAAAGTGCTACTCCCCATCGCATTTGGATTCGTTGAGGAGATTTGTTACACGGCGGCATCTTGGAGCTCCTCGGATGCGTTGGTACCGCCCCTCTCCTACGTAACTTACTCTCTGTCGTTGTACTACACTCTACCCACTGCATGTGTTTGACATGCACTGTCGTTCGACAAAGTCGCTCGGTGAAGATGCGCATGTGGCAGCTCGTGTGGCACAGGCTGGTGCAAGAACCGCCGACAGACACTCAGTGTAGTATTTTATTACCGGGACCTGAGTCGGGAGTAAGTACACGTCCCAGCGCGTACGATCGGCTAGTTGCAGTGGGCTAGTTGCAGTGGGCTTGGCTGCATTGGGTGTCGCTTGGCCGAGACCGCAATCTACCTCGCTCTCTCGCATCTTGTCCGCCGTCGTAGTATGGAGATGCAGTGGATCCCCAAAGTGGCGCACCCCAAGCCCAATTTGCCTCTTGAGCTCGTGCCCGACAAGCCGTTGACATTGCGCTTCCAAGGGATGGCGTCGGCCACATCGATGGCGTTGGCTTTGTCGTTGAAGTCTAGACCACCGACTGTACCCACATTACTCGTATAGTTAGCCCATAGTACACAAGTCAGTCGATTGCTCCACATAACGTTACTAGTAAGACGACGTCGCATCCAAGCGAATTACGTTTCCAGTCGTGTCTACGTGGTCTTAACCGGTGATGACGCGGACGCCGAGCGACGAGACCTTGTGGACCGCAATGTTGCTAGGTTGCTTGATAAACATAAAGTTGGTCGGGATCTTGTACTCGTCCGCAATCCAGAGAATCGTCGCCGGATCAAAATGCCCGTGCACCGAGACAAAGTCCAAGTGGAGTTTGGGGTACACACCGTCAAACAGCGTGATGATATCCCGGAGCTCGGCGATGTGGGCGCGCGTCGCTGCATCGTCGGTGGCGTACACGTGGAAGAACCGCATGTAGTGCGTGATCTCGTTGCTCCGAACGTACAAAATGGCCTTGTTGATGAGGACGAGGTTGTTCTCCTTGACAAAAAACACCATGGGCCGCGAGTTAATGCGCTTGATGGTCCGCGTGAGCAGCGCGACGCGGTGCGTATCGTGCTCGTAAAACTTGTGCTTGGTCGTCACTTGACTGCTGCGATCATTGCCGTCGTCTGTGTGCTGGACGCGGGGAAGGACGTTGGCTTCGACGTCCGCGATCGGATCCGTCTCCACCGGCGCCTCCTTGCCGCACACCATGTGCACAAGAAAGATGAGGCACCGAAGCACCATCATGCGCTCGAGCATGGAGAAGACGACGACCGCGATGACCATAAAGTAGAGAAAGAACACCAGCAAGACTTTGGGGTCCCCGAGAAGCGACCCAAAGTAGCCGAGCGCGACCAGCGTACAGCCAAGGATGCACGTCCACCATGGCGCGTGGACGGCGCGGGGGATGTCTTGACGCTTCAGCTTGAGCATGATGCAGCCAAAGCCAAAAAGGAACATCATCGAGAGGAACGCAAACGTAAAGACGTTGCCGAGCATGGTCGCGTCGGCGTCGAGCGCCAGAATGAGACTCGACCCAATGACAAAAAACGAGATCGAAATGTTGTGCGGCGTGTGGCGCCACTTGTTTTCGTAGCTGAGAAACTCGGGCATGACGCGGTCGTTGCTCAAGCGGCGAATGAGCCCTACGAAAAAAAGCGTCAAAATGTATCAATATATCAAGTATTGGACGAAAATGGCGAAAGAAATACAGACCTGTGATGCCCACGTAGCCCGTGAGCACGCCAGCCGAGAGCACAATGAACGCATCAATTGCGACCCAGAGCTGGAGCCAGTGGCCGCCGGCCGCGAGACCCATTTGCGCCAGCACGACGCTCGGGTTGGCCATCATGACGTCGATCGGAAGCACGCCAAGGCTCAAAATGGCGAGCGAAATGTTGTAGACCGACGCGAGTGCCCACATGTTCTAGAGCAATACGTATATTGTCATACGAGTCGACAAGCGGACCATTGATAGAAGAAAGTGCGTACCCGCATCGTCTTGCGAAACACGCCGGGCTTTTGCTCTTCAACAAAGTTGGCCGAGGTTTCAAACCCCGTCACGCCGAGCATCGACGCCGAGAAGCCGAAGAAGAGGGCGGTCATGAAATTACCAGAGACAAGACTCCCGACAAAGTCGACGTCGGGGAAGGGGCGACGGTAGTTGGCTTGGATCACGTCTGGGTGGTGGATCTAGGTCGATTTATGCATTATTCCCAGCACTTTTCATGGAAGGAAGTACCATAAAGATGAGGCTGGCGACGGCAACGACCGTCAGCGTCAGCGCATGGAGGCTGAAAATCACAAGCGCCACGATCGACGACTCGGAGATGCCAATGATGTTCAAAAGGCCAAAAAGACCGAGGAGCGCAATGGACGTGCCAAGCACGGGCAGACCGGGCACCTGATGCATGCCATCAAATGAGACGCGTCTATATAGGAAGATGGACCTGCGTCTGGAGGTAGTAGCACGCCGATGTGGCCGAGACGACGGCCGTCGCGAGGTACGCGAGGATGCTCAGACAGGCGGCAACGGCCGCGACGCGCTTGGAGGTCGCGTTCAAGAGGCAGTTGTACGACCCGCCGTTCATCGGAATCGCGGTCACGACCTCTTCGTAAATGAACCGAAAGAGATACAGGACGAGCGAGACCATGACCATGCAGATGGGCGAGAGGCAGCCGGCCTTGCTGGCGACGATGCCGGCCGAGTAGAGGACCGAGCCCAAGAGGTCGTTACCCGAGATGGCAGTCGCCGGCCACTCGCTTAGAAGGTGCTTGGGCTTGTTGAGCTTGTCGCGGATCGCGTTGAGGTCGTCGTCCGGCGCGGTCACGTCCTCGTAGCCGCAGTCCTTGGTCGGGTACAGGAAGCTCGGCCCGACCTCGTTCGTGTTGACGACGGGAATCGTCAGGTACCGCTTCGTGAGGCCATCGCGTGGCGACGTGATCCCCATGTAGCCGGCCATCGTCTTGCAAAATGGAATATCCTATATTGGCCGGATATGGATTCGCCTATTAAGTACAGCACCAATCAACGTGTACCTAGAGTCGCGACGCCCTGTCGCATCGCATTTTCCATTATGACGCTACGCACCAGGCTGCACGGCGCGGACCGACTGCAGCTGCGCCATGCGCCCTGTGCATCGCGTCCCTGGATAAGCTGTGATTGCAACCACGCATGCATGCTCGCGGTTGCTCCATGGAGGTGCAAAAGAAGACATTTGGAGCCATGGTCGCAAATTTTGCATAACTGTGGTTGCGATCGAGTTGTAGTAGTAGGCTTGTACTGTGTGTGATCGATAGATACCGGTATATCGTCGTCACCTTGCTGACGTTATAGGTGGCAAGCGGCATGAGCAGATCGTGTTTTGAGCGTTCGAGTCTACCGGTACTGGTGGGACGGCACAGCGCTGCATGGTGGCGGCGGCGAATGGACACGAGAGACTACGTCCATGTGGCTACAACGTCTTGGCAATCTACGGCTTCGACTACCAAATGGTGGCAAGCTTCTCGCGTTGGCGAAGTTGGGACGAAGCGGGGTCGTGTCCAGGATGATGGGTACACCACCGTCGCACTCGCTTTCGCTCAGTCCTTGGGCGCGTCGCCCACGAGCAAGCTGGAAACCCAGACCCTATGGATGGTCATACACTGAAGATGTCTGTGACTGTCGTCGTCGTGCGACAACATGGTGCCTCGTGCTGCCCCTTGTGCCTCGTGCCAAGCTGTAACGGTACTGAACAAGGTAATTCCTTTTCAATACCCGGATAGACGACAACAAACCCTGTCGATGCGACGAAACACAGCACGCAACCAACTGACGCAATGGCTTGCTGCCCCGATCCAGAGACGGAATGCACTTGCAGCAGCGTCGACGTATGCAATGAATCGTCGGAGGTGTCACCAAAGATTCGCCGCCGCCACGATGAGGAAGCGCCACCATCTGCTTCAGAAAGCACCCCAAGTCCCAACATGATGCGCTTGCAGCTGCGATGGACGTCTTCCATGTCGAATCACTTACTGTTTGCTCAAGCAGTAGACAATAACAACAAAGTAGTGCACAACACTTGGTGACGTAGCCTTGGTGGTTTGTTGAGCAGTGGTGCAAGCGTGCGGTTACCTTGTATGCACCACCATCGGCACGGTCTGCGACTGGAAAGACGTCGTTCCGAGGCAGTATATCGTTCATTGCGGTAAGGCACTGTGCAGCAATTCTCAATCAACTGCTTTCTGATTGCGGACCTAACCATAGAGGCATCCCTTCTCGAAATTCAAGCGCTTTCAGGGCAAATTAGCCACCAAAACGGCGAGTCCTCCAGTGACAGACGCCACGGAAGAGTCGACGTGGTCCCCCAAACAGCGATTTAAAAACATGAGAACGACTCGAGGTTCAAGTCCCCCACGTTCAGAGTGGTTCGAGTCGTGAACGACTGGCCTTGCTAGCGACATAGTACCGCAAAGGTATGTAATATATACGTCGTCGTGTCGGACGACAGTATCGACGACGCCAGCACGAGCCGCGTCGTGTCCGCCTTTTGTGCACCTTCGTTTTACGACACAGACGCGAAAGGCAAGTGCTCGGCACTGGATTCGCCCTAGCTCGCAATGTTCGTGTTCGAGTTGATAGCAAAAAGAAAGACGAGTGGTTCGTCTCGCGATCTATTCCTCTAGCGACGTGGACTTTAGAGCACCACCAGTTGCTACAAAGCTCGATGTGTTTGTTCCCTTACTGTTGCGGTCATTCCATGGCAACCACCGAGGTCTTGAAAACTCCTTTGGCCAAGCTGCAGCGTGCTTGCCAACAACCAAAAGGGTAAAAACACCGAGTTGGAGTAAAGGTCCGAAAGCACTTGTGACCTTTTTGATTGAACGACGACAGCACGCTGGTAGCTCGAAGCGATGATAAATACTAAACTCGACTCGATCGATGCTATCGTCAATTGAGGAGGAACGCGATGCTGAGCGGGTTGCAAGGAAGCGTCGGGAGCGATGGGAGCGTCTTGGTCGCTTCTTTCGCTGCACGCTTGCGCGCCTTGATGCGGAGGTACTTTTCACGCTGGCGCTGGCGCTCTTTCTCGCGGTTCTCAATGTAGTGCAACCGGAGCTTGGCCAAGACCGAGTCGCGGTTGTCTTCATAGTACTTTTTCGAGCGCACCCGGTTCGTCTCGAGCTGCACCTTGGTGAGCACTCGTTTCTTTTGCGCGCTGGACGACATTTTATAAACTGAATAAGCCAACGCGTTCCGCGTTGATCGCCGCGCCACATCAATACAAGGTGATACGCTTGCCAAACCATCTGGTTGCCCTTTCGCTCGTGTAATCGCACCAGATCAAGTCCACACAGTGACGCCGGATGGGTGCGCATCCTCCACGCTCTTGCCCTTGCATTCGGTTCCTACTGCATCGGCATCGCAATGCGTCGCGTCCTTTAGCGTGTCCATCATCACGATGTCAAAATGTTTTCGACGCTCTTGATCCAGATAGGCAAACGAGAAATCGATATTTCTAGTTTGCATGAATCTGGCTGGTATGCCAGAAGGCAGAGGTGGATGACGAGTACAGTGTAGCCGTGCGGAGCTCGAAGATCAAGCGCGATGCCACCCATGTGTACTGGCTGGCGAAAGGATGTGCGGCTCAGAGATGTGGCCGCGACGTTCTGCGGTCCAAATGGCCTTTCTAAAATACCCATCGGTCGGCCACATCACATTGGCGTCGTCGGGTCGGATCATCACCACCTGCGCGCCGCCATTCGTTTTGGCGGATGTGCACTTGTCCTATTGGAAGACAGGGACGATTGACTTCAGCCAAAGTACTCGATTGAGACCTTGTTTCTGGCTCAATCGTTTGATTTAGAAATGCACCGTGTCGACTAGACGGGGCACTTCAAGGACGTGGTGCAATAAATAGCGATGGTTCCAAGCGACAGGCGCCACGGTGCATTGGAGGTCACAACGACAGCGACGTTGGGTTGTGGAGTACTACGAGTGATAGTACACGTCGTGCTCAGCTCCCAGTGCCCTTGTCGCGTGCACTGGTATCGCGATGGCGGGTCTTTTACAGACATCGGAGGCGGGTGGACTGATGCGGCACATCCCCACCATGGCGTGCCGAGTATCGCCAGTGCTCCTTGCCGGAATTTCAATGAAATCACTCAGCAACCAAGTGGAACCACACGTAAAAGTCGACCATGTTGCGTCGTTGGAGCTGCGGCTTGAACCCTGGACAAGCTCACAACACATAAATGTAGGCTTGTCCGAGGGGTAGCTTTCCTAGGACCCAAGCGCTTAATGTGATCATTGACACAAACGAACAACTGAGCTTTATGCCGAACGTTGCCTTTCCTGCACTGAACGCCCGCCAAGAAGTGATATATGCTAGTACATGTCAAACCGATCGAATCGACCAACTCGAAAGGGTATCTGCAAGAGATATCGGCACAACCAAACAAATGCGGGCACATGGAGTCGACCACGTGGAATCTGACGAAACAAAAAGCATGCAATCGTTAAATTTGGTATTCCACAGCGTGAAACGGTAGTGACCTTTGGTTGGCATGAGCACACGGCTGGGGCTTCGGGAACGACTCGAGCTCTCTCGCCTCAAGCTCGAAGCCTCGTCACCCGCTGCGACGAGTGGTGCGACCTTGCGAGTTTGTCATTCGCTTGTTTCCTCATGCACATCTTCTAGCCGTCGCCCCCGAAGAAGACACACCAGGCGACGACGACAGCATCGATGGCGAACCGTCCGAGAACGCTCTGGACGACGACGACGGTGACGACGGTGACGAGGATAACATCAACCAAGGCGAGGAAGAGGACGATGACGACGAAGAGCCAATGCAGCAGCCGACGGGGGGCGCCCCCGCACACTCAAGCTTCAGCACAGTCGTTTTCCAAATCGCATTCCCACAATTTGCTTCGACTACCCGCTGGATTTACACGTCGAGCGAACGTATCCCGCGGGTGTCAACACGAGCGACGCCCCGGCCGAGGCAAACGTTGTTTTTTTCAAGTGCTACTGGGAGCGCAACTGCGTCAAGAACGCCTTTGTGCGCGCGGGCTTTCGCCGGCTCCTCAAAGGAAAGAAGTGGACGGGTGCGTGGATCAAGCACCTGCCTCGGACCGCGTTCAAGGCGCTGCAAGCCCACCAGAAAATCAACCACTTTCCCGACCCATGGGTCATTGGCCGGAAAGATCGCCTCATGAAGACCATTAGTGCCATGAAGCGGACGTTTCCGGCAGCGTACAGCTTTGTGCCTGAAGGGTTCTTGCTGCCTGGACAGCTCGATGCGTTCATGCGCTGTCTGGACCGTGAGACCGGTCCGTCCATGTGGATCTTTAAACCGCCGGCGTCGGCGTGCGGTCGTGGCATCAAGGTCGTCCACTCGTCCCAGGTACCACATGCGATGGAATGTTATTTGTGATTTTCTCACAAATAAAATGATAGCTCGAAAAGCAGCTCAAGAAAAAACGCAAGTGGGTTGTCCAGCGGTACCTCTCGTCGCCGTATTTGATCCACGGCTACAAGTTTGACTTGCGCATCTACGTCGTTGTCACGTGCTTTGACCCGCTTCGGATCTACCTCTTTGAGGAAGGACTCGCGCGCTTTTGCACGGTGCCCTACGACACGGAGGCGGCCCACCTCAAGAACCGGCTCATGCACTTGACCAACTTTAGCATCAACAAGAACAACGAGCGCTTCAAAGCATCGAGTGGCCCGACATCGACCGACGGCAGCAAGTGGAGCCTCACGGCGTTGCTTGCGCACCTTGAAGTCGGTACCCTTGCGCTACCCTACCCCTCAATATTTTGCCGTAGAACGACGGCAAGGACGTTGCCACGTTGCAAGCCAAGCTGCATGCGATCATTTGCAAGACCATCATTGCCGCCGAAGCGCACATTGCGCCCTTGACGCAGACGTACGTCAAGCACCGCCACGCGTGCTACGAGCTCTTTGGCTTTGACTTGATGCTTGACGCGACGCTGGAGCCGTGGCTCATTGAAGTGAACGTGTCGCCGTCCCTCATGGGGTCGTCGCCGCTCGATAAGCGCATCAAGGGCCTCCTCATGAGCGATATTTTTCATCTCGTGGGCCACGAAGCGCCACATGCAGCGATAGGTCGCGAAAAGAAGAAACCACCGAGCACGTCGTCGCGCAAGCTGTTTGATATCGTGCACGACCCCAAGATCACGCAGCTCGAGGCGAGCCACATTGCCCTTTTCTGCGACGACGACTGGGACATTGTCCATTCCATGGAAGACGAGATGGACCGTCTCGGGCACTTTCGGCGCCTGTACCCGCCCGAAACGAGCGAAGACCCGTACGCTGCGTTCTTTGCGTGTGCGCGGTATGCGAATCGGCTCTGCTTCAAGTGGCTCCAGACGCGCCGCCGCCACGTCCTTGCCAAGAAAGCGAGTCGCGCGCCGCCAATGAAAGCGTCGTCCAAGTCGCTCCTCTTGAAGCATAGTGCATCGTAATACGTTGCTGGACAACAAGAGCATTTTGATTGAAAGTGTGGTCGACGACTTATATGTGAACGTGTTTTGCGTTATCTTCGTTGTTACAAAGAGTTCGCATACGTAGAGTCTAGCAATCTCCTTGGTCGACGACTTGTAGACTACAAAGACACTTGTAATCCTTCCGGTAGTGTGTTTTGTTTTTTGTGGTAACGCGAACGGCGATTGGATGGTGATCGAACCCATTGGTACGAACCCATCCTAGTCATTAGCTTTGCATCTGGATACTACAACCCTTGTCCTGGACCAAGCGTTGGATGGGATGCAGACCCGCCGACAACATGCGGCGCCATCACTCGATGCCAGACACAAATGTACTAAAACTCCCAATCTTGTGAACCTAGTGTGTGACAACCAGCAGCGATGCGCGGGACTCGAGGGTCGTCGTCTCATGAAGGGCGTCCGAGTAGCCATACCCGAGGACGCGGAGGCTGTGCATGACGGCGGTCTCACTCACGAGCCACGAGAGGATGATGGCGGCAGCGCAGGCCAGTGCTGTGATCGGGTCGACACCGCCGTCAGTAGCGACGGCCTGCAAAATATAGGCCACGACCGGCGGACAGATGGGCGAAAGCGCGCAGACGCCCCACCACACGTACTTGATGCGCTGGACACGCAACGGATCGGTCTGGCGCCCGCCATAGTGCAAGAGCCGCACCAAAAGCATGATGCAGAACGCCAGCGACATCGACCCGAACAAGACCCAGAGCGACGTTGGTGCGAGCTCTTGGTTCTGGCGCACCGCTTCCGAGACGAGCTTGGTGCCAACCCCGATCGCCAGCAGCGAGTAGGTGAGCCCGGTCGCAATCGACCGCCGCATCGCATGCATTTCGCGCTGCGGCTTGGCCGCAAAGTAAAAGATGGCGAGAGAAAAGATGACGAGGAGCGAGAGCGCCATGGCGACGTAGTAGGCGGATGGGAGGTCCGTGCCGCGGCGGTGCATGACCGTGCTCACAACCGACTCGCCGAGGGCCACCATGACGAGACAGCCTTCGCGATCGTCGACGTGGTCGATGTTCATCGCCACGTCCATGTCAGGTCGATTGGCAAAGCGCACGAGTGCGACACCTCCTAACGTCTCGAGGACGAGCGACGTGAGGTAGGCACCAATCGTCACCGTCGGGTAGTCGACGTACAACGCGAAGGCAAAGAGCGTCATCACGAGCAGGCTTATGCTCATGTCGGCGCCCGCCTTTCCACGCACGTTTGGCAGCGACCAAAACACCGAGAGGTTCATGCAGAGGAGCGCGGCGCGGATGCAGACGAGGCCGATCGTGAACCCGCGGCCGGGCTCGCTCGCGAGCACCATACCGCCAAGCCCGATGAGCAGCACATACAGAAAGCCATAATGCAAGAGCGACGACTCGGAGAAGCGCGCGTTGAAGTGCGTGTAGAGATGCCACGACGAGGCATACATGAGGCAGAGCAGCACGAACGCCGCCGCGCCACGGAGACTCAGGTCGTCCTTGAGGCCCTCGGCCACGTTGGAGCAGGCGGCGACCATGATGAGGTCGAGGAAGAGCTCGAACCACTGCGCCGACTTTTCCTCGTACTCGCCCGTCCAGTCGGCCGAGAGCGCAGCGTCGCCACACAGAAGGTCCGCAGCATGATGCATGCAAGTGCAAACTGCAGGATTGGGATAAGATCTGACGCCACGGGATCTCATTGGACGAAATGAGAAGAAGCAAATGATTGGTGGATTTAGAATGTATTTTATCCAATGAAATGGCATCTCGTGGCAACCACGGTGGGACTGGATGATCCAGCCCCACCGATGGGCGATGCAGCCTGGATCGCATAGTATCGAAGCACGGTCGAGCGTCCCTAGAGGCGACAAAGAGTGTCGTCGAAGCACATGCGTTTGCAGACATATTTCTGAGATTATGACGGTCAGCGGTCACTTCGTCGCTGGTTTCCGAAGGCCCGCCCCCCCCCCTTGCGACGGCCACTCCGAACACTCGACGTACTACACTTCACAATCCACCTTCATTTCACAAAAATTAACCACACGTGCTCTATTATCCGTTTGGCCCAAACCTCTACCAGCGCACAGTCGCAGGTAACTTTCTCGTAGGGCCCGAGTACATGTATAAACTACTGCTAGAACTCACGTATCCATAGAACAGGACCTGTGGGGTGGCTGGCAAGCCTTCCAGTCGAATCGACGGTCAACATATTTATCAGCTCACATCGTCCATTGTGCGTTTGCCGTGTCGAGCGAGCAACAACGAAAGCTGGAGACCACCCGCACACCGTTAAGAGTTTTTTTGTTTGACGGTTCATCTGTGAGAAAACACGAAACGCGCCATCTGAACGTCGCATCATCATCATCGTCATTCAGCATTCATCCTTGACATCGCGGACGATGCGGCGCTTCTGGCACTCTTGACAGACGACTGTGTCTTGACACTGCACAGCGACGAGCGCGCCTCCATGCACGCGGCCAACGACAGCGACGACGTCTTTGAGGTGGTCGACGACGACAACTTGGACGCCCATGATCTCTCGGCTTTTCTGGCCGAGCTGCCTGCCTTTGGCTTACCACCGCCTGCGCAGACAAAGAAACGCCGCGCACACGACGGGCCCAAGGAAGAGATCGCCTACTTGCGTCAAAAGCAACTCACGCTCGCGACGCAGCTCGGGCGGCTCAAGCAGCGCGCAGAAATGAGCATCGACGATACGGACAGCGCCTCGTGGCAGCAGCGCGCCGTACACCAGCAGCACGCGGTGCAGCGTGCACGTCACGAAAACACACGCCTGCGGGAGCTCCTCGAGAGCCAGCTCAAGTTTGTTCAAGCCCTCCAGCGCGTCCTCATCAAACGGCCGCGGCTCTCGCTCTTCCCTCGATGCGCAGCGCACGGCGCGGTCTTGGGTCTCTCGGAGCGGGAAGCGTCGTTGGAGGTGCTCTTCCAGGCGCAGTACAACAAACTCGAAACGCACTGGGTGCGTCATGGCCTCTTTGAGAGCACCGACAGTGGGGACGCGATGCGCAAGACCAACATTGAGAGCTTGGCGTTCGGTGGCACAATGCACCTCAACTCGCTCCTTGGGACGCCGTGTTCGCTGCCGTTTATGGCCCTCAGCGACATTCTTTGGGACCTCATGACGAGCGAGTTGGCGCCGTCGTGCCAGGTGCAGTGCTTGTCTTGATTCATCTCAAACGAGCGTGCTTGTAGCTCCTCGAAGAATTCCACCCGCAGCTGCGCTATGTCCGGTACAGTGAGGTACATCTCGTGGCGCACTCATGTTGTGTGGGATAGCCATGACATGCGGCTGCACGACCCGAAGCTTCCGACTCTCGAGTCGCGGCTCGCCCACCGGCGCTTCAACGAGCCCAACCGCGTCGTGCTGCTGACACGCTCGATCGTCGACGATGGGTTGTACCCGCACACGCAAGGCCACTTGATCGAGAACCGAGCTACGTGGTATAAAAGCCTGCTCTCTAGGTCTGAAGTGATATCTCCGCTAGGTCGGTCATCTCGTCGAAAGGCCCCAACGAGTGCTACTTGGCAGTTTACGTGAACGTGGCGCTGCCCATCTTCCCCGCCGATGTTGAAGCGATGCAGCCAGCTGCGGGGACGCTCACGGAGCTCCTTCTGCTGCTCACTGCGTCCAACAGCGAGCGCTTTGGCGCCCGTGTTCAAGACGCCATTCGAAATCGGCACCCCGACGCCGCCCTTGCTCCACGGCCGTCTCTCTTGATGCATCGAGATAGTACCACATCGAGTATGTCGTTGCCGCATCGCGCTGCCAAAAATGTTTAGAAATTTCCGATTTTCTGACGTCAAAACATGGATTATTTTGTCAGCGCGTTTTGTGACGACTTGTATGCAAGGATGGCATCGCGGATGCGGGATCCGAATTTTTCGCCATTTTCCTTGGACATTTGCAAGAGGAGCTCGGTGAGCGTGCCGACGGCGGGCTGCGCCGACGCGTCGTCCACGTGCATACTTGGCGTCGTCATGGTGCCGTAGACCGCCAGCATGCTCTCGTCGGTCGACTTGCGGTGCGTGACCGACCTAGCATCGACACATTGCCCACATGTACAATATTGTTTTGAAACGCCTACCATCCGAAACGGTTCTCGACCAGGTTGCCGCGGGAATGCGGCAGCAGCTTGTCGTCAAGGATCGTGCACCACGCGATAATGACGCGGTCGGGTTGGATCCATCGGCGGTAGACCACACGCGCTTCGAGTGTCGGCATGGTCGGGTCGGGGAGGTCCCCAAAGTGTCTACGAAAGAAGGTGTCAAGTTGATAGATACCATTTGTGTACACGTACTTGACGTAAACGAGGTCGGGATGGTAGGCCTCGAGGACCTCACTGCGTTTCGAGCGCAATTTGGTCGTCATGTGCTCCCATGTCAAGTTGGCCATCGCAACATAGTCCAAAGGAATGCGCGTACAATGGACGAAATGCAACGTCATGCCCTCTTGGCCTTTCGTCTCGACATGCGAGCGCAACACGGCTTCGTTGGCCTCGACCGCGTCAAACAAGCCGTGCCGGATCCACGCCGTCTCGAGCTTCTCGAGCTGGTGCTGCATGAGGGCTTCGAGGCTGGCTTCGCGCTCGGCGACGTCGAGGACGCCGTGCTTCCATTGCGCATCGGCCATGGTCGGAAACGTCGAGAGCCGAGGCTTCTTGGCAATGACACGCTGGAGCGCTTCGAGCACCTTGAGCTGATCTTCCAGCATTGCCTTGAGCCGCAGGTTTTCTTGCCGCGACCGCTGCGCTGCGCGGGCTTGCTCCAACGCCCGGCCTTTCCACGGATCGTCGCTCGGAACGAGCGCTTGTCGCTCTTGGAGCGTGTGTAGCTGTCGCGTGAGGTACCGGTGTTTGGACTGGAGGTACTCGATCTCTTCCTTTGGGTTGCCGGCGAGGCGGCGCTTCATTTGGCGCGTCTCGCGCGTCGCGCTGTCATCTGACGAGACCTCGGGCGACGCAAAGTCAGTCGTGCGCGAGAGGAAGGCTGCCATCGATTCGATCGTCGCCGCATCGTCTTGCAGAAGCGCAAGCACCTCGGCCATGTCTTCTTCACCCATGCTGCGGCGGCGTGCCGGTGTGATGATGATGCGCCTTTGAAAAATATGGTACCATCATTCTGCCGTAACACACTCGAAGACGTCGGAAGCCAGCCGCCGCCACCCGATGTTGGCGCCAAAAACGAGCACCACACCAACTTCTCTCAAGTGCAAAATGACGATGCGTAGCTACTGGCTTCGTTGTCAATGTCGTGTTTTGATCAAGTATTTTCTACTGGAACCGCTCGTGGTCGCTGTCGAGTGAATGACGCGGCTATGTCGCCAGCGTACCGCTCTATTT